GACAAACTGGAAGTGTCCGGGCGGAAAGGCTGCGCGGTAATCCCATTGCAGAATGTTGCAGCAGATGGAGGGCTCGAACCTGGGCAACAGGTCAAGGCTCACAACTTCCCAGCCTTCCGCCTCGAAGGCTCGTCCCACTGAGCCGGTGCCCTTGAAGAGCTCCAGCAGCGCGGGCATCCGTTTCTTTAAAGCCGGACCGCCCCCACCGTCCCCGCAGCAAGCCACCGAACACTTCCAAAACGGGGTTGGCCCGCACGTCTGGTCGGACGAGACTGGACCCGCCAAGCTGCTGTTCTGCTGCGACCCCTTTTCAGTTTTAGACGACCTCTAGAAGGTTGCCGGAGGTGGCTCGGCTGCAGCCGATGTAGAGGTGGCGCAGCGTGAAGTGCTCAGAGCGCGTGTCCAGGTGTACCCTGCCTTGGAGCGTCAGGCCCTGGCTTGACGCGTAGGTGAGCGCGTGGGCAAGGCGCGTCTGGCTTGAGAGCTCTTGCGGGTGAGCTCGGTGCCGCTCTAGTGCGATGTTGTCTGCGCAGGCCGCGACTGTCACGAACGTGCCTTTCTTGATGGCTCCGCCCGCTCCGATGGGTTGCGACTTGTTTTGTTCGGCGGTGTCCGGGTCTTCCTCTGGCTCCACGAGCTGCGCGTTCGCCGGGGCCAGGCGACGGTTCGCGTCCGCGTTGACCGCCATCCGCTGGACGTGGCTGATCGTGAGTGTGGTGTCCGGCACGCCTGGCTTGCGCGGAAAGAGCCGTCGCGCCGTCTGCAAAGCTTCCTGTAGGGGCATTTCGTCCGGCTCGTCCACGCGTAGGCTCCGCACGAGGTCGAAGATGCGCGCGTCGCTGCGCTTGTTCTCCGTCACGTGCCGCCAGCCGCCCGCAAGGTCCAGCATCAGCTGGCTGTGTCGCAGGGCTTGTTGACGGGCGTGCCGGCCCAGGTGTCCAGCACGGCTGGGAGCTGCCGGAAGTCGCCCACCAGCAGGAACCGCACGTCGTGGTTCAGGGACACGCGCGCGATGTCCGCCCACAGGCCCATGTCGAACTGCGTGACCTCTTCCACCAGCAGCCAGTCCAGGCGCTGCACGCTGGCCCCCCGCACGTACTTGCGCACCCAGTGGTCGGCCGTCTTCGCGCCGGCGTCCAGGTTCTGCACGGCGCTGTGAGTCTTGCTGATGAGGCGCACTACCTCACCCGCTCCCGCAGCTTGGTCACGATGATCCGCGCCAGGTGCGTCTTGCCTGTGCCGGGCAGCCCGGTCAGCAGGAGCGAACGGCCGGCCAGGCAGTGCGCCACAGGGTCGGCCACGTCCGTCCAGCCGGCGGCCCTTGCTGGCGGCTCCGCCTGCATGCAGGGCGGCGCGTGCTTGCCTCGCAGCGGCGTCGTCGTCTCCTCGTGGCGGAATTTGGGCTTACCGTCTGGGTACGTGTTGTGGACGAGCCGCTCCAGGTTGTCTCGGAACTTCCGCGGCATGCCCTGCAGCACCACGCAGTCCGTTTTCACCTGCTTGATGTACTTTGGCGGAAGGCCCAGTTCTCGTCGGATGCGTGCCACCATCGTCGCCTCGAAGCCGAGCACGCAGTCGTGGATGGGGCGCAGCGTTCCGTTGTTGTGGATTGAGCGGGTGGTGATGAAGTCCCACACGTACCGGCCTTCGCCGACGTAGAATACCTGCCTGGTGTCGGCCCCTGTCGCGTCCAGCTCGTTGCTGCTGCTGCGCAGCGTGTACGCCTTGTTGCTGTCGTGCGCCATGAGCCCGATCATCGAGTTCACTGCAAGCTTTGCCATATGTTCTTCGCCCTCGGGCCAGGCCTGCTCCATGACGTCCAGCGCCGGCGCCAGGCACTCCGCGGTGACGTGGCTGGCCGCGTTCATCGTGTGGAGCACGTCGGACCACTGCGCCACGCCACAGCGCAGCATGTAGTCCAGCGAGACCTTCGGGTACCAGCCCGGCCCCACGTGGGGCAGCAGCGTCACGGGGGCATCGCGCCCCCGATTTTGCAGGTCCACAAACGAGAGGTCTGCGAGGTGCCCGGGCCGCGCCGGCTCGATGTTGTCGGCCGGGCAGAAGATGGGCAGTGGGAACGGTGCGTTGGCCAGCCCGTTCCTGCGGCAGCGCACCACGTCCACGCCTTCGAGCGGTCCGCTGCCCGGGGCCCGCGCCTGGAACACTAACGGAGGCTGCTTGGGAGAGCGTACGTACGCGTCGTAGACCGAGCGCGTGAACCGCGACTCCAGCGACGTGGGCTGCATGCTTTCGGTCTGGGTCTTCATCTGGTGGCACTCAAAGCAGAGCGCCTGGAAGCGCTGCTGCTGCCCGGCGAAGGCCTGCCGCACCGGCACGATGTGGTCGAACTCCGCGCACCCGGCGCCGATCTGCTGCCCGCAGGCGGCGCACTTGCCTCCCTGCTCGGCCAGCAGCAGCTTCTTCTGCCGCTGGCTCGGGGTGATCCTCGGCGCCTTGACCAGCGTGGAGAAAGCCTCGAAGCTCAGCGAGGCCAGGCGCCCTGCCGGCGGCGCGGTCCTCGTCCCCCGCGGTTATCAGCCGCAGCGTCTCCTGCTTGACGTTTTGCAGTATTTGCTGCTCCGACAGCCTGTCGGGCTGCCGGCTGGCCTCTCCACCCAGGACATTTGCGGGGAGCCAGTCCCTGCGCTCGTAAGCCCGGCCCGCGTTTTTGCCGGCCCGCCGCATCCCCCTGATGACCACTGGGATGTGTGCTACGTGCTGCGAGTACTTGTTCTTGAAGAACCGCCTCCCTAGGTTCGTCAGCTGGTAGGTGCCGTCCTCCCGCAGCCGCCGCACTAGGCCCCGCTGCCCGTTCTGCAGTAGCACGTAGTCGGCCGCACCCTCCCTGACCAGCGGCTGCCTTGGGTCGAAGGTCCTCGACTCTGGCTGCCGCCCGAGCATGCCGAAGTAGGCCTCCCCGGCCCTAGTAACGCTCCCGTCTGCGCGCTGGAGCAACGCGTAGGCGCCTCGGCCCCGCCTCAAGCCCAAGACACGGCTTCCGTCATCCGTGTCCCGGGCCCTCGATCCGGCCTCGACCGCCTGCCTGATGTTCTCTCGTTGTGTTGCCCAGGATGCCATTGTTGTCGATTGCTTTTCTTAGGCCGGCGGAAAAAAAGTGGTCCGACCAAGGTGGCCGCCCCGGCCCTGAAGTTCTGTGGGTTCCCCAGCCCTCTTCGCGGGTTTTCTCGAGGCCCCCAAACGGGTCTCTGCGGGCGCGTTCTTTTGCGTCGGGGATCCACGGTCAAAAGAACGTGGTTTTAAAAGGGACAAGAGTCCCCGCCTGCGCCGGCCTTCGCCTGCAGGTCGCGGACCTCGAGGACCAACCCGCACTGCTTGCCCATGATCCAGACCTGCCGGGCCTCGACGCGGGCCTGGCACTCGCAACCGGCCAGAGTCTCGGGCCTCCGGATCCTGTTTCCGTCAGCGTCCCAAAAGCGCACATTGCGCAAGTCCAGCTTGCACTTCAGGAAGGTCGTTCCCTGACGCGACTCCTTGAGGCAGCTTTGCCACCTGTCCTTCACGTTCTTGTCGTCCCATCGCGCCGATAGTTCGCCAACGCATCTCTTCTCAAAGTCATCCCAGGCCGCCCAGGCCTCGGAATCCCTCTCCATCGCAAAGCAGACGTTCTGCCGAGGCCCCTGGTCCTCGCCGAAACTGCTGGGCTCCCAGAGGACGCTGGTCCACTCGGACTGCCAGACGATAGGCTTCCCCTCAGACCTCAAGGGCGCCGACTTGGCTCCCTTAAAACTGGTCTGGACCTCGCCAATGGCGAATGTGGCGGTAATAGTCATCTGATGCCGGCGTTTTTTTTAGTAGGGTGGCAAAAAAAGGTGGTCCGACCAAGGTATCGACCCCGGCTCAAGCGGCTCGGATTTTGGCATGGCATGATTTTGCATGGTTTTTGCATGACATTTGCTCGGTGTGCGTGGTTTTGCATGGTTTTGGCATGGAATTTGCTTTTGTTTGCGCCCTGACCCCTGTCTTGAGGAAGGTGACGCCGTGACGGAGACGTTGTCGTGTCGTGTGTTGGGGGGGGGGCCACTGTGAAAGTGGCGGCCACTGTACAAGTGGTTGAGCGTGCGCTTTAGGGCAGTGTCGAGGATCGAAGGTTGTGACGGGGTTTGCGTGGTGCTTTGCTATTTGAGCAAATGGCGGAGTTGCGTGACTTGACCTTGACATTTTTATTTTTCATGATTTTGTGGCATGTGGTTGTCTGGAACGATTCATGTGGACCCAAGCTGCCGAACAGGCAGCGGGAGGGCACCAGGAGCTGTCACAAGCTCGGGGGGGATGGAGCTGTCACAATCGGGGGGGATGGAGCTGTCACAAGCTTTGGGGGCTACGCAGGCCCCAGCTGCTTGGCAGGAAGGTTGGCTGACGTCGAGAGGATGTGCTCGTTTTTTTTGGCCGGCATGTGCATTGAACTTGATGGGAGGCGATTCTTTCTAGGGATGTGAGGGTCTTGGAGGGGCGTCAAACCTTGCAGGAATACGGCCTAGGTTTAGAAGGCGTGTGGACTGAACTTGACGGGATACAATTTTTTGAGGCATCTCCACGGGTGCGAGGGTCTTGAAGAGACATCAAACCTTGTAGGAACACGGCCTGGGTTTTGAAGACTTGTGCACTGAACTTGGCATGTTTTTTGAGCATGACACGGATTTTGAGGGCAAATATCGCGTTTTTTTGGCGGCGTGGCGTTGTAGCGTGGGTGCAAAGGCCGTGCGGACCTCCCCGGGCCCGCATGGCTGCGAGAGCGGAAAAAAGGATCCTGTTGGCGTTCCCCGGGTGTCCCCTGTCACCCGGCTCTGTTCTGGCGTGCCCCCCCTCGTCCCCCGAGTGCCCTGAACAGGCGTTCTTGCGGAAAAAAAGGCGTTTTTGCGTTTTTGCGTTTTCTGAAAATTTCGTTTTTGCACGGTTTTCACGCATGGATTTTCTTGCCGTGACACGTCTCTTTTTGCACGTGACGTTGGTTGTGGACTTGAGGGAAAGGGACGTGCTGCAGCCCCTTTTTTTTTGGAGGGCGCTTCTGGGGGGGGTCTGGGGGGCAGCGAGGCTGTTCGCCGGGAGCCTGGCTGTGCTGCGACCCTCCGCCCTAAATGGCAAGCCGTTTTTGTCCCCTTAACCCGCTCATCCTTGTTTTCATCGAGACCTTGATGTCCTTGCTTGTGAGGTTGAACCCCGTGACTTTGAGAGACCGTGACCTTGAGCCGGCCGCAACCTCGGAGAGTTGAAGGGGAGCCAGGGTACTTAGGGCACTTGGGTCCTTGTCCTGTGGCTTGTGCGGTTGGGGTGGTTGATTTTTTGTCTTCTTCTTTTTTCTTGAGTTTTTCATTTCTTTCTTTTGTTTTTGAAGAAGAAGAATCAACTGAACAATACAAGCAAAACAAGCGTACCAAATACGGAGCCCATCAAAGACGCCACCAAAAAACGGAGCCCGTTAAACAAAAAAAAACATGGTGGTGCCCCGGAGGCGCCCTACTCTCCCCGGCGGTGCCCCGGTACCCCCTCTCCCCGGCCCAGGTGCCCTAGGTGCTGGGTGCCCTGCCCCCTCTCCCCGGCCCCGGCCCCTAGGTGCCCTAGGTGCCCTAGGTGCCCTAGGTGCCCTAGGTGTGCCCTGCCCCCTCTCCCCGGCCCCGGCCCCTAGGTGCCCTAGGTGCCCTAGGTGCCCTAGGTGCCCTGCCCCCTCTCCCCCCCCAGGTGCCCTAGGTGCCCTAGGTGCCCTGCCCCCTCTCCCCGGCCCCGGCCCAGGTGCCCTAGGTGCCCTAGGTGCCCTAGGTGCCCTAGGTGCCCTAGGTGCCCTAGGTGCCCCAGGTGCCCTGCCCCCCTTTTTTCCCCTGAGCAGGGTCCCGGGGCACCCAGGGCACCTAGGGCACCTAGGGCACCTAGGGCACTTAGGGCGCTTCTGGGGCGGCCCCGGCTCAGGTCAGTAGGGCACCTAGGGCACCTAGGGCACCTAGGGCACCTAGGGCACTTCTGGGGCGCCGGCTCAGGTTGGTAGGGCACCTAGGGCACCTAGGGCACCTAGGGCACCTAGGGCACTCTGGGGCGGCCCCGGCTCAGGTCGGTAGGGCACCTAGGGCACCTAGGGCACCTGGGGGGGACCGGGAGGGGGCAGGGCACCTAGGGCACCTAGGGCACCTAGGGCACCTAGGGCACTTAGGGCGCTTCTGGGGCGGCCCCGGCTCAGGTCGGTTACATCCTGGCGAAGACGACCCCGGCAGGGCACCTAGGGAAACGGGTCTGGAGGGGGTTTCGGATTTTTTTTGCAATGGTCTGCCCAACGGGCCCGGGAGGATTCGTTTTTCAATGGTTCGACCAACGGGTCTGGAGGGGTTTCGGTTTTTTTCAATGGTCTGCCCAACGGGTCTGGAGGGGTTTCGTTTTTCAATGGTCTGCCCAACGGGCCCGGGGGGATTCGTTTTTCAATGGTTCGCCCAACGGGTCGCACCTAGGGCGCTTCGGGTGGGATCTGCCCCGGCTCAGGTCGAGAGGACCCTGCCAGGGGGGCACTTCTGGCGGGACCCAGCCCCGGCTCAGGTCGGTTACATCCTGGCCAAGAGGACCCTGGCAATTCAGGTCCTGGTTGAGAGGATCACCCAGGGCACCTAGGGCACCTGGGCGGGACCCGCCCCGGCTCAGGTCGGTAGGGCACCCAGGGCACCTAGGGCACCTGGGGGTCAGTTACGGGCGCGCTCGCTTACGTCTGACATCCACGATAAAAAGAACGCAGTTTTTCACCTGCAGGTCGCGGACCTCCACCAGGCCGCATTGCTTGCCCTAGTGGCGATGGTAGTCATCTTGACTCTTGCTTGCCGGTCCTTTTTCTATAGGGCGGACAACAAAATGGTCCGACTAAAGGGACGGCCCTCGGCTCACGCGGCTCGAGGGCCGCCATTTCCGGAAAAAAACACCATTTTGTTTGTTTTTCCGTAAATTCAGCTTTGCGTGGTTTTTGAGCGTGATTTTGCATGACAGGTTGCCGGTGTTGCGTTTTTCTCATGATTTTCACGTTGTCGGTCGTGTTTGGAAAGAGCTTCCCCAAGCACGTGAGCCTTGTGAAGGCGAGATTCGGGGACGTTCTGGGGTCGGGCGGCAGGGAACCGCTCGCGGGTGCAAAGGCGTGGTTTCAGACTCACAGTTTTTCTTGACCTCACGTGCCCTGTGCCCAGACTTCGACGTGCAGATCTTCTCGCAGCGCCGCGCTTTGGAGTTGCCTTTTTGTCACTTTTTGTTGGCCGCTTGCAGGTGGATCCAATTCGTGCTACTGGGGACTCTGTGGCTGGGCACCTGTGCGGATTGGTGTCAACTCGGCCTTTGAGCAGTGTTTCAGGCTTGGTCCTGGATTTTGAAGGTCGTGTTTTCGCGCTTCCCCGTGCCAGGCTTTGTTTTGACATCGAGGCATACTGCCCGGGCCTTCGCTGCTTCCGTTGTCATGGCCATCAATGCCAACTGATCTTTGAGGTTTGGGTCCCAACTCGCCAATCTGTCAGGCCCCCTGATCTTTGGCCTAGCGAGGCCCGGACACCCCCCCCCCGTCCCGTGCCAGGATTTGCGCGACTCGCGTTGCTTTTTTGTGTGCTTTTCCCAACCCCGTCAAGCCGCGCCGTCAGGCCCGTGTATCTTTGGAAATCGTGACCTCGTTGAGCCAGGCCCGCATTTTGTATTGTCTCTCCAACCTGGTGAACCCTTGACCTTGAGAGCGATTGCCCCAACCCCGTCAAGTCGTACTGTCAGGTTTTTTGTAAGTCAGGCAGCGTGGTTTCCTCAAAATCTTTTTTTTTCCTGGCGCTCAGGCACTGCGAACTTTTGAGCTTCCGCCCGGGCCCTCGCCGCGTTCCATTGTCATGGCCAAGAAGTCCCGTGCAGGTTATTGTCATTTGATCTTTGTCACCAATCTGTCAGCCCCCTTGATCTTTGACCCAGTGAACCCCTGGAACCCCTGGAACTTCTGGAACCCCTGGAACCCCTCAAGCCCTGGAACCCCTGAATGCCTGGAACCCCTGGAGCCCCCTGGAACCCCTGGAACCCCTGCAACCCCTGGACCCCTGGAACCCCTGGAACCGTCCCGAGGGTCCCTGCGATCTTTGTGGTTCCTGGGGTCCCTGGCGTCCCTGGGGTCCCTGGGGTCCCTGGGTCCCTGGGCACGCGTGCGTCCGCTGCAGGTGCCATGAAGCAACGTCCTTCCATCAAGACGTCTGGCCAGGGTCCCAAAGTGCATACATCCTTGTCAACACACGGCGTTTTCAGGGATTTTAGGGACCCCAGAAACCTTTACGGACCCTAGGGGCCTTAGGGACCCTAAGGGACCTTAGGGAAGGACCTTAGGGACCCCAGCAACCCTGGGTCTTGGGGGCAAGAGATCCTGTGAAGTGTGAAGTCATCTCTCAAGCTTCGGTTGGTTGCAGCTTGCCACGCAAGGGGACACAAAGACGCGCGGAAGGGCAAAGCTTCTGTTGTTTTCCCATTCGAGCAACTTTCCATACATCTATTTATCTTCGTGTACTCAAATCTATTTATTTCCATACATTTATATCTTCATATCTCTACGTATTTGTATCTCTTTATGAATTTCATATATTTATATCTTTGTATTTCTACAAATTCATATCTTTATATCTTTGTATCTTTGTATCTTTCTCTTTATATCTTTATATCTTTATGTCTTTGTGCCTTTATGTTGGTATGTCTCTACATGGTGTTTTCTAGTTTGTAGTTGGGAGATGATGTTGTGGTGTTGTGGCCCATTTGCAATGTGTGTGTGTGTGTGTCTTGGCTTCGGCATTTTGTGTTTTTGCATGACCCTATGATGCTGGAGAATGCCCAGGCTGAATGGTACCCGGCGTGAAGTTCTTGCCAAGATCCCTTCAAGCCCCAAAATCCTTGGGGCCACCAAGGATCTCTTGAAGTCTCTGGGTCGCTGGGTCCCTGAAGTCCTCGGAGTCCCTAGGGTCCCTAGGGTAGGGTTTGCAGGGTTGCTAGGGTCCCTAAAGGTCTCTAAGGTCCCTAAATTCCCTAAAGGTCCCCAAGGTCCCTGAACCTGCCGTGCGTTGACAGGGACGAGCGCACTCTGGGGCCTTGGCGAGACGTCTGATGCACACGTGTGCAGATTCAGGGACTCTAGGACCCTAGAAACCTTAGGAGGGACCCTAGGGAATGTAGGGACCCTAGGGACCCAGGGACCCCAGAGGCCGCAGTGATCCCAGGGACCAGGGACGCCAGAAACCCCCGCCCTTCAGGCCCTGGCGGCCCGGTGCCGATTTCGGCTGCTTGTTTTGCAGGCAGGCCAGTTTGGTATCTCGCTTGGACTTTGATGCAGCGGCAGGATGTGGGTCATCTAGTCTGACGGATGGACGCTGCGAAGCCTTGCAAGGCTTGGCCCGACCGACCTTCAGGCCGCGAGTGAAAAGGAGGAGGAGCATCCAAACCCGTGCGTTGGTGTTGCCAAAGAAGCCAGTCAATCTTGTGTTTGCTCTGGAAACTTGGCTCGAGGGTACTCATCAACACTGACACAACAACAGCTCGCAATGGTTGCCCGATGGGTCTAGTGCCAGTGCTTGAGGAATCGCAGGCCGCTCAAGCGCTTTTCGAATAGCCATGGCGATGATGCGGACCAGGACCAAAAGCCGAGGCTGGCAAGCTTGTGACGCTTCCGTGCCCGCGGTAGGCAGCGGCCAGGTATGTGCCTCTGCCTTCTCGGGATTGCATTGGCGCTGCTCGTGCAGCCGAGCACGGCCTGGGTCTTGGGACACATTTTTTTCGAAGGTTTTCGGGTTTCAGGAGTCCCTTGTCGCCGCCGCCCAGGACTTTGCTCGAGGAGTTCCTGGGCTGAAGGAGCATGAAGTCCCTCCTTTGGATGTTCTTGTTTCGTGCTGAGTGCCAGGACAGCATGTTGGCCCAGTTCTCAGAGTTGCCCGCAGGCGCAAGCAGATTGCACTTTGGCTCTTTCAGGCAAAACGGCACCCGTTGCATGCCGGAGTCGCTCGGCGCGCCGGGGCTGCGCAAGAGGACTCCTCCGACCCGAAGCCTGTTCGCATCTTTTGCCGGTTGCCGCCAGGACAACAGTGCCGAGGCCGGGGACACCCTCTTCTTCCATGAAGGATGCCAGCCATGTAAAAATCAGCAGTGTCCGCCTCCATGCGAAGTTCGCAATGCTCTTGAAGTGTATTGGCAGACTCTTACCTTTTGACCCCCGGCGGCGAGATAGCATAGTTGTTCTTTGTGACTGTACAGGCAATTTGGGGCATTCGGGGAGCGAAAGGAGCTTTGAGTGTCAGTCCAGTGCAAGGGCATCGGCAAGGTGGCGTCTTTGACGGCTCCAGCAGCGCCAGCGGCAACCAGAGTGCTAGTAAACAAGCCGCGTAGGGTCGTGAACACGCGGACCAACATAACACGAAGCGGCAAGGACATGTTGGCACGCAAGAAGTCGTCCGCCGCCCAAGAGTGCTCATCAAATGCTTGAAGGCACTGGGCAAACATTGCCGACGTATCCAGCGGTAGGATTGGCCTTGCAGGCCCGTGAAGTTCAGGAATGGCCATGGCTGTGATGAGGGCCAGGATAAAAAGCCAAGGCCCGCAAGCTGATATGCTGCGCTGTTTGTTGTGTGGTTTTGCAAGGTGCGTGCCTCAGCCTGGGAATGCGCTGGCGTTGCTCATTGCAGTGGCCGAGCACGGCCTGGGTCTTGGGAACGTTGAGGGGTTGGCAGCTGACTCGTTCGGGCTTCAGGAGTCCCTGTCCGCCGCCCACGAGTTTTCGCGAGGAGTTCCCGGTCGGAAGGACCGTGAAGTCCCTCTTTGCGAATGTTCCTGCTTGTGCTGTGATGCGAGGACCGCAACGGCGCACCGGCCCAATCTTCAGACTTGTCCACTAACGCAAGCAGATTGACCCTTTTCGCATCCTGCGAGCTTAGTGAGGCATCGAGCCAGCGCTGGTTGCATGCTGGAGTCGCCTTGCGTGCCAGGGCTGCACGAGAGGACCTTCGGACCCAAAGCTTGCAAGTTTGGACGATTGCAGTTGCCAGGACAACAATGCCGAGGCCTGGGGGACATGTGCATCAGAACGCTGGGCTTCTTGGCTGCCAGGACCGGCTCCATCTCGAGGAGGCGGCAGGCCTTCAGAGAAAGGACAGGTCCCAGCTTGGCCTCGCTCAGGCGATTGCAGAAGCCGAACGGGTGCTGCAGGACAACGACACGGTGGAAAAGATAAAAGCTGTCTTGCGCCGCTGGAGCAGCACATGGGTCGGGGTTTTCAAGAGCGGTGAAGGGTTTGAGCTCAGGAAAAGCGCAGAAGATAAACCCAGGGAAGTGGACGCTTTCAGGGAAGAAAGACGAGTTGAAGCAAAAACTGCGCGAGTTCGTGGAAGAGGCAGGACTGCGTGCTTTGTCTGAGATTCACAAGCGGTTTTCGTGCGACGCAGGCCAAAGCAACCCTGAAGGGCTTGAAAGAGGACGTCCGTTCGTGCGCACTGCTGGGGCTGTGAGTCAGGGCTCCTGTGTTGTGTGTTGCAATTGGTGCGCCAGGATTCTCGCAGGGCGCAGGTCCAGATCTCGGTGTCACTGTAATTGTCTTTGCCTGGATTCTTAGCTCCTCTTGAGGTGACAAGCTGGCACCCTGGGCGTGGCGGAGTTGCTTCGCGCGCCAGCCCGCAGCAGGACGCTCCAATCAGCAGTTGTAAATTTGGCCGGTTGCAATCGTGCCAGGACAGTGGTGCGGAGGCCGGGGACACGTGCATCAGGCTTGAACGCTGGGCTTGTTGGTTGTCAGGACCGGCGCGATCTCGAGGAGGCGGCGGACCTTCAGAGAAAGCGACGTCCCAGCTTGGCCTCGCTCAGGTGGTCGCAGAAGCCGACAGGGTGCTGGAGGACAACGGCACGGTGAAAGAGACCAAAGCCGTTTTGCGCCGCTGGAGCAGCACGTTGGTCGGGGTTGCAAGAGCGGCGAAAGTGTTGAGCTCAGGAAAAGCGCAGAAGATATATCCAGAAGAGATGCCAGTGAAGCGCAGAATTCCCAAAGCAGAGGATCCCGCCGTCTTCACCACCGACGTGTTCATCCCCTTGGATGAAACCATTCGCAAGCTGGATGTTTTGTTGCAAGATGAGAGGGTGGTCTTTCTACGTGCTGGTGTGGCAAGCGGCAAGTCTACATTGGCGCAGCATTTGTGTACCACACAGCCGTCCAAGTATTTTGGAGTCCATGCCCCACTTGCAAAGGATGCAACCATTTTTGAGATGTGGGAGAGAAAGATGAGGGCAGCTGTTTGGGGACAAAACTCGAATGTGAAAGACAAAGACTTGCAAGATATGATAAGATTGATCTATGACAATGACCAAGTCCTGGTTTTCGATGAATGCCACTTGCTCTTTGCTTGCCCCGAGTTCCACGAGCAGTTCCTGAAAAAGCCCTCGTATCTGAAAAGGCGTCCAATGGTTCTGCTCTTATCTGCAGCGTCTGAAGGAACAGATCAGCAAGGACGGACCTACTTAACACCAGCGGCAGTTACTGCAAAGTACATGTGGACTCCCCCAATCCCACATGCCAATGAACTTGTTGATCAACTTGCTGAGGCTGATGTCTATTTGTCCCAGGATGCGGTTGCTTTCTTCATGGACTTTTGTGCTGGACACAGAAGTCTATTCATAAGAAGCATGGAATGGGTGCAGCAGAAGCAAAGCGGGGACAGCACTCGCTGGGATTTGACTCGCGCACAAGGCGAAGTCAGTCAGGCATGGGACACAGACAATTGGACAGAAACCCCAGATGACAGCTTGATGGGGAAGCTTCAGACTGTTCGCGCCATTCGTGTCAACGGAGCTTTTTCAGACCCGCAGAGCATACCGCAACAATTTGTGGACATCTTGTGCGAGGGTCCAACTGCTGGTATGGACGCGAATCTCCGGCGCAAGCTCACTTTAGTTGGTTTCACGCTTCCTGTTGTGCCAGCGACTGACAGAATTCCAGAGGAGTTTACGCCATTGGATTGGGCAAAGCTCGGGACAAAATATGGCGTCGCCAATTACATGATGGCTTCCTACTATCGCCAAGCGCTTGCGAAGAAGCGGCAGCTGACAGTGGATGTGGACAGAAGCCCAACTTCTTGCACAGATTTGCTCTTGCGAGCGCTGCCATACTTGCTTTTTGCAGATGTGGTGGCCATCCAAGTAAAAAAGTTCGGAATTCGTTCTGATGTTTCGCAAGAAGAGCTCCCATTTGAGGTTCACTACACCCATGCCGCAGTTCGGGAGTTGAAGCGCTTGGTTGGTAGTACAAATAGTTTGGAGAGCACAAAAAAGGGGAAGGTTGACATCTATACTACGTTGGAGGACGGTTCAACTTTCGCCATTGAAGCGGTCATGTCTTCTCGGGGAGCAACCAGCATTGCTAAGCATCGAGATCGCTTTGAAAGCGCGTCGATGACAAACTATGCACATGCACAGCACAAGTGCTTGCTGATCATTGGCAAATGTGGAGACATGAGAGAGATTGTGGGAAAAGTGCGGGACGGTATAGAAGTGGTCGGACTTGCGCCCAATCCATCGCACACCGGCTACTATGTCTACGTCAAGCGGCAAGGTGAGAAAGTTGTTGACTTCCACATCCCGTGCGATGGAGTTGCAAGAGGGTTCTCCTGGAAGGATGAAGAACCATTCTTTGAGATCAGTTCTGCCCAGAAATTCAAGTACATTGAGCCAGGCTGGATTTTTTTGAACATTCAAACTCAGCATTGTTTTTTGGCTTCGAAAGATGTCAGAACGTGGAGTGCGAAACTCGACCAGTTTTCCGGGCCAGTGGAAAGCAACAAACGCACTTCTCACGTTGCGCGCTCAGATTGCCGCCTGCAAGGCAGTGCCGCCCCGCAACGACCCCCAGCAGTGTGGGTCTGTCAGCTGGGAAGCCCTGCCTGGACCTTACCAGCAGCTGTGAGCAGTTTTGCCCTGCATTCACGTTCTGAAAACAGCTGTCGACTTCCTTCTCAGAAGAGCTCTCAAATTGTCGCCCACCTTCAATATTCAATGGAGATGTTGTGTTTTTTTTCTTTGCCCTGGCTCCCTGACCTTGCAGGGCAGTGGCGGCTTCCAGCCCGCTGGCAATGCTTTTCCAATCGACCCAGTGCCGCAAAACATAGCACCCCTGCCATGTATTTGTTGAATGCATTTTGATCACTTTTTGTGTGAACTTGAACTTGGAGGATGCTGTGCGTCTTAGCTTCAATGTTGGCAGGCATACTTGAAGGAAGTGCTGCCCTCAAGCCGAATTTCGCTCATACCGTCTTGCGAGCTGTTTGCAGAAGGGCGATGACAAAGATGGAGGGTTTGAATGATTTCAACTCTGAGCGTTGCTTGAGGCCATCAAGCAGAAGAACCCAAATACTGTATCCTGCGATGCCTATCAAATGGACATTTACCGC